AGTCGAGAGCCACGGAGTGTAGAAATATACGACTCCGCCTGCTAAATCCACTTAATTCCTGCTACTCCAATAAGTGTCACGAGAGCGTATCCGAGCCGTAGGGTGAAAAGACACGCTCGCTTTTGTCCACGAAGAAATTTCTTTGTCGATATCGGAGAGCCATTGGACCGAGCCAGATTAATAGCCGTGCTCTCCTCGATCTCGAGAACGGGGCAAAGGGATGAGCCGATTCGACTCACGTAATGCTCGTTACGCGTCGGCCGATATTAACGAGCGCCGAGGAAAACGGAACTTTCGTGCCTTCCAAAACGTGAATCGGAAGCGGACGTACCGTGCCGTGCCGTACCGTACAACCGTACCGTATCGAGGATAGGTCGAGTCCCGCGAACCGTTTCGCTTTTCTCGGGCTCTGAGACCTGGAACACTCCTGGAAGTCGATCGTTATCGGTAAAAGGACACGAGGCGGCTGTGTAGTCAGTAGAAGGATGTTGTTTTATGATTCACCTGTACAAACGAACCTAAGAATCTTACAACGCAAGAGAGTAGAGTTCAAGGAGGCTTCGAGTAGCTCTTCTCGGTGGGACGAATAACGAAGATGGGGTTGGTTTTAATTAGACTGCGGATCTTTATGCATTTATAGCAAATTTGAATGTGCAAGAAACTACGAAATGTACAGTACAGTAAATCTACAGTATGGAATAATATAAAAGAATATTGAAAATAACGTTTATATTTGCAAAGTAAAATAAATTCCTACTGTTTACCTTCGACCAATGGGCGAAAGGGAGCAGGGATTGGACCGGAGTATAGACAAAACGAGAAACACCTCATACAAATTATAGATTTATTCTTGATTTAAATACGACACTTTGTCCCGTACGTTAGAATACACAAGTATTGAAAAGTCGATAGGCGTACCCACTCCGAGTACCGTTCCATTAGCGATTTAAGGCGTCTGGCCACCCTGAACGCTCATCAGATGGGTACTATTCTTAAAAAAAAATTAATCAAGTAATCGCAAAAATCCATTGCTATTCTTCAGATAATGTATCTAAAAGTAGTGTGTACAAATCTCAGAGCAATCGGACCGCACGTTTACTTTCTTTTGGGATTATCTCGAAACTACATTTTTCGAAATGGTACAACGTAAATCTCGTAAACTATCGGTCCGATTGTTCTGAAATTTGTATACACTACTTTTTAGATACATTATCTGAAGAGTAGCAATGGATTTTTGCGATTACTTGATTAGTTTTTTTTTTTTATTAACGATTTTCCTCGTGAAATTTCGGTGAAAAAGAAAAAATAAATTTCTTTTCTCACCATAATTTTCTTAATGTTAAAAAAAAAAGCCAATTGCTACTCTTTTTCGACAAACTCCAGAAACAAACTAATATTTTTTTTTTCTTTTTCACATGCAACCTAAAGAATATGCTGATGGTACAGCCCACGCGCGTTTCGTGCCGAAGGCCTACACCAAGATTTTCGAACCGCCGTCATTTTTTTTTTTTTTTTGGTATCTCAAACAATTTTTCACGTGTTCATTAAACCGTTTTTTAATATGTGTCAAAACATAAAAATATTTTTTTCTATACTTTTGCATTTATGAATTTTTTAAGAATAGTACCATCTGACGAGCGCTCAGGATGGCCAGACGCCTTAAAACGTTGGTCGCCACGTCACTCATATGTGGGTGACAGTGCTTTTCACTGAAGAACTAAAAAAATTAAGTCTGAAAGTTAAGTTTGAAAGGAAATGAATTTAAATGAAATTCGTGTATTTTGACGAAGTTACAAAAATAAATACCACGACGGATGTTTGATTATGTAGTCTCCAATAATCTGAATAATATTTAATTCTAGCAGAAATTTTCAAGAATATTTCTCTGGCAGTCAACGTGTTAAACACTTCTCACATAGTATCAATGTGACCATCGAGTAATGGCTAACAACCAATCCAGAACTCTTGCCATTGAGTTCACCCAAGCACTCGACCTCGCCTGGCACCAGCAGCGAGGTATGCTCGACAATCGATCACGAGACATTGGGCCGTCCAACCAGGGCCCAATCATTCCGTAGTCGACATCGGAGCACGAATACTGGGTATTATAATTCACCAAACCAAAACCGTTATTTCATGTCCGAATAGCCAGGGAACGTGCCATAATTAAAACAACAAACAAATCGGTCTGGTAAACTCGGGGTGGGTGCGCGCAACTTCACTCATCCTTCGATACCTACTTTATTGTCGAACGAACGTAATACGACTGAGCGCTCCTTTCCATAATCGCTGTGCCTTACCTCTCTATATCCCCACTCCCAAACACCTCACGGTCAAATTGTAAATGAAACGGAACGCGAAAATTACAGGAGAAACGAACAATATAAAGTACAATAACTATAAGAGTAACGAACAAAAAACAAAAACTATAAAAGAAACGAACGAAACTTATTGCGATTGCGTTGACAACACCTATTTAGGTTTAATTTTTGTAGGTTCGTTCGCAAAGATTTTATTTTACGTAAAGGTCCGCAGTATAGTTATTATAGACTAGCTGCGCTCCGGGGTCTCGTCCGTGTGGAATACTATTTATTTTATATCGTTCACGTTCGCCAAAATTTTCTTGAAAAATATTGAGATTTCAAACCGAAACTTTATTTTTATCAAAAGAAACTCATGTAGGGATAGTGTAAGCTTTCTACTACTGAACAAATGTTTAGAATCTGTTCAGTAATTCCAGAGATTACCCCCTACGTACAAAGAAATTTTACCTCTTTGTAATATTAATATTACACCCTTTAACAGTGAACCTACCACGTCGAATGACCAATTTCAAACTTCTGTATACAGTTCTTATGTACAATACTTGAATTATATACAATTGTTTCATGCATCATTCGATTCAGTTTCACATAAAAGATTTTTGCATTTAATTAAAAAAAGCGACTTTATGTCATTTGTCCCATCACCGTAGAAATAATTAGGAACGAATGTCGGTACGTTTACGTTTCGTGTTAACTACATGAATTTTATTATATCTTCTTGGTAGCGGTACCATAGTATAGCAAACATTTTCAATCAAAAGCGGTATTTCATACGTCTATCCAGCGACTTTGGCAATAGCAAAGAAATGAAACAGCCAGGTGACCGGCATTAGGCGAGTCTCTTCTACCCGTTTCTTCGTTTTCATTTCCCGTGACGCGCAAATACGGTCGGAACGAGCGGGCGGTAGTTGGACTTTATGTTTATCGCGATTCGGAATGCTGCAATATTCGAATAGTTTGTGGTTTATCGCCGCGTTGCCGTGAGCGTGTTCGCTTTCGCCTCGCGTTTCACGCTCGCGCGCCTTTCAAGTTCCGCCGTCCTGTGTTCGATCGTGCTCGTCCACAATTTCGACGCTCGCAAATTCGACGCCCACGAGATCGTCGCGACGCACGCCAGAAAGCGAATTCAACGTCCACGGTAACAGCAGTCGTCGAGTCGTTTCGCTTCCAGGTAGACGCCTTTACGATCGCGAAGCCAATTTCTCGCGAACTCGGTTTCTCTCGTTGCCTGACCACTACGACGCGTCGTTACGACGCTGTGCGTCCCAGCATCGGTGTGTCCTATCCACGGTACTGGATTAAGGGCGTTGAAACGACGAAAAGATTGGCTTTCTCGTCAATTTTTACCCTTATACTATGCTTGAAGAGAAGAATCTTGCGAAAGAAAATTGTTTCTTTGGAAATGGGCTCAGAGAAATGATTGTATTCGTTAAATCAATTTTTAAAAAATATCAGCTTATAAGAGACGACGAGTCCAAACTTGTTCATATTTACATTTTATTCATAGAATGCTTAGTTTCGAAAATAAACATTGAAAAGTTAGAAGTTCGTTGGAAAAATTGAGTTTTGGGAAAAAGGTCTTCCAAGTTCGTAATTTTTATCTCTGAAATTAAACGTCGTATGAATAAACTGTAAATATAAAAAAGGTTTCGTTTTGTCATTCTCTGTAAGATGATATTATTTTAAAATTCGCACGTCTACGCCTCTTAGAATTTCTGGCAAAAATCGTCCCCCAGTCAAAGGGTTAATATTGAAAATATGAAGACGTTCGATCATCATAAACACAAGTAACTCATTAATGCACATTAGAGAAAGAAACATTAGAGAAGAAGCTAATTCATTGTTTATTACTAGGGTTTAGATATCGCAAGCTTGCAGTGTTTCATGCCCCTACCCGAACTCATCAAATTTCCCCAAATTAATTTCTGGAGGCCATCCAGCTGGCGTAGGCCCCTGCGCGGCAAACCCCAAACTCCATACCCTAACTCAGCTTTGCCTATTCGCAAAACATATTCGTGATGAGGTAATTTCACTGTTGTACCTCGGGAATTTCACGATATCAAATTTCTCCCGTTTACAATCTTACGATCGCTCGATGCCCCTCGGAACGGCGAAAATCTCGTTTACGGTACGTTCCGCTACGTCGCGTCGATCCAGCGTATGCGTTCGCCAAGCAAAGGTAATTGCGCGCGTTTCAGCGCATCCAGTAATGCACAAAGAAGTCTACATGCGCTGGATATTAAAGTTGGATGCGAGGGAAAGGAGCCCGGTAACCACACTCTTTCTCTTTACTTTTACCCGCCGCCCGCAAATGGAATTTCCCTTGGTTTTCGCGGGGCTTGGTCGGATTTCAAAACGCGCGGAATTGCCTCGCGCGAATATAGACGTTCATTCACCAAATGTTGAACGAAGATATTAGGGTCTTCTTCGACAGAAGAAATTATTAGCCGTAGTTATCGTTGACATCGAAAGGCTTAACGAAACGTACCGAAATCGGAAAACCTAAGCTTTGATGATCGAGATCTCCGTGTAATGGCAAAGACGGTACATAAAGCTGAAAGGGAGACTAGGAGAGAGCCGATGTTGGCGCGGTACTCGGCATTGCAGAGATCAGATATACCGAAGTCGGAACAAGGCTAGGAGACGTTGCAGGGGACAAGAGAGCTTTCGACTCACGTCAACTTTAACGCCCTCGACGGGATAGCTGTGCTTGGTAGGTTCCCCTCTAGGCACGTATCTGTAGAATTCCTCGTCATCCTTGTACCACGTGATGGTGTAAAGCTTGTCCGTTTCTAGGTCGTATCTGAAACAAGAGAACAAACGGTGCGCAGCTTATTACATCTGCGATACGCGCTTACGTTTACGCGATGACGACGCGTTTCAGGAGTGAAAATTCGTCCTGGAATTTATATTAGGATAGTTTCTCTAGTTAACGCGTTCATTGCTACAGTAATACTCGTGAATATTTTTACGAGTATTAAAGTTTGCTTCGAGACAATTGAAAAGGACAGAAAACATTGGGATGTCTAGAACGTTCGTGTCAATTTTTTAAAAAAATTTAAAGGCACATTTGAATGTTGATGCACAGTCAGTCCCATAAATATTCGTACCCTCTAGGTCTATTTTATAAATTTGTTTAAATTAAATGGTAGGTTCGATTGTTCCAAATCTATGTTTGTATGAATATATACATGTATAAGCTTATTCATATACATATTTATAATGAAAAATTCATTTGGTAACATCAAAACTATTATTTAATTTAGTCAAACTTCTTCAATAGAGACAGTGAGTACGAAAATTTATGGGATTGATTGTATATTTATTGAATTATATAAATAAACATTTTGTTCCATAACCTTTCCACTTTTTGAGGAATGTACACGTGTTATTTGTTTTCAACTATAATCTAACATTTCTAATAATTTAATGCAGTTTTTATGTGATGCAAAAATTCAACCGATAATTCACTTATCTTATTCGCTCATCTTTCCACTTCTGAAAGAAATTTTTCGCTTTATCGTAGAAATACTGATTTTCTGTTACCAATTGGAGAGGTTAAGAAAGGAAATATCCTTCAACGATTCACTGTCCGACAGAGAATTATCGGACAAGACAGAGGAAGTATCCGATTCTCTCGAGTCGTATTAGATAAGATTACAGGATCGACGCTCCCTTTCCACAAGCTCAGGCATGAAATCCTCTTGCAATGGGTGGTCTTTAAGAGATTGCGCAATCGAGGTCAGATGTTCACAGGTACCATCGTCCTACTGTTAACATTCAAATTTGATGGTTTCTATGTCGACTTTGAACGCTTTCCTCCTCTTCCACGTCGAATTATCCAGCTACGAAATACGATTCTTGCGAACGCCAAAGTTTCTACATCTAGATGTTTTCTATGGAACTCGAAGTCGGCGCAGAGACACGATTCAGGCAATTTTATCAAGACGAATTTTCGTTTCTTCGTTATTCATTCTCTGTTATCCCATTTTTACGAGATTGTTGTTTTTATCCCATTAAGCAATTCTATTAACTAAGTCTAATTCGTTCTATTCCACGCACGTCAAGAATTTCGTATGTTTTCCCGATATTCCGCGAAATCTCTCGGCGATGGTTAAATTTTTGTATCGGGTTAAATTCGGGTAATTTGATGCTGATTGGGTTGGCTGCGGAGTCGGACGGGTTAAGAATAGAGATCAAAATGATCGAAGCCTCGCTTCGTTGGATAATCGAGACAATTGGCGGTGCACAGTGGGCACAAATGGTAGCTTTCTTAGAAAGATCGTGAAACGGTTGATCGAAATGAGATAATCTAAAAATTCTCACGGGAGCTTGCAGTCACACATTTCTAGAATAAGAGAAAAATGTCGAGGAATTTTCCGTTCTGGGAAATTGGTAAAAAGTAGGACACTTTCCAAATTAATACCAAACACATTTTTTTCGTGAATTTTGGTACACCTACTGAATATACGTAAAGTTTATAACGAGTGAGAGGAATACGATTATGAAAGCAATTTCGACAACAGAACAAACTCATCCAGCTTTGAGTTTTTTTAATTACGTGCAAAAAATGAGCTATCAATATTTTTTATTTGTATAAAATATGATACAGAGTGTTTTTGTTCTTTATTGAGACTAACAGAGCGGACGATTTTTTCCTTGCATTTCTTTCTATAGAGATACATTTCTGGTGTGGTAAAAACTGGTTATCGGAGAGTAAATATGAAGAAGGCTATGTCAACGGTCGTTCTACCCATTAGTAATGTCAGGAATTTCTTCCTGTTTAATCCTATCGCGAAATTCGTGGCACAAGCTCTAACAACAAAAAGTGCCGAACTTGAAGTGCTATCGTGCTAAAAGGAATACAACTTAGAAGTAAAATTTTCCACCGCACCCTGTATTGGCGAAAGTCTTCGACCGACGAGAGGTCTCCCAAGCCGATTCTTCCACGTGTCGCGATGTCACAATTTCTAGCGTTCCAAGAAGATACGAATAGCAACTCTGCTTCACTAAATGTCGCGAATATTAATTGTCCCTCGCAATGTGGAGTAGCCTGTTGCGCTCAGCGATTTTATCGACGACTCGATCGAGGCACCAATCGTGTTAGTATCTGTATAATGGACGATTAGGTCGATCGCACACGGGCGCAACTGATCAGTTTCAAACCACTCTGAAACTAGTTGCATGCGAATGTGGAGCGAGGTAAAACAAAGATAGTGGAGTAGGTAAAACAAAGAGCGCAAACGGTTTGCAACACTAATTTCAAATCGGTTGCGCCCGTGTGCGTTCGACCTTGAGGTCTATTTACACATATCCGCAACGTGTCAGGTCCGTATCCGTACCGTATCAATAACGTCACGGAGCGGTGTCGGACGTGTGTAAACATGCCCATTCAAAAACAACAGAAGAATATTTAAAATCACTGACATTGATGGAACATTACGGAACTGAACGGATACGGAACTGACACGTTACGGATATGTGTAAATAGACATTTACTTGCTTGAAACTTGACCGACATGTCTGACCATTGCTGGCTTTTTCCACTTGGAAGAGAAGTAAGGAGTCCAGGCAGATGTTAGATCAGACATGGCCAACTGTTTTTCCCCCCGACCCGGATTGGAAAAAAAGAATATTTTACTGATCATACCGAGTACAGATGAGCATAAAAGTTTTCATTCTTCACAATGGAATCTTTTTTAAAAAATATAAAAGTATCGAGAATTCATTCGATTAACTACTGGAAGTTAAATGGTAATATTGAGAAATTGTTCGAGGGTTCACATAAATTCATTACGCAGGCCGTATGGTGGGCATGCCTGTGTTAGATAGAAGAATCGAACGTCTGTACAAAAATTTGCGAAATCCAGAATGTCAAACATCCGACTCGGAATCCACGAACGTCTTTCATACCTAAGATTCTCAGCAGGTGAAGTGACAGTGTTCGATCGATGGTTCGGTCGTGTTCGGTCCATCGAGGGAATCGAGGCGACGTTCGTTGGACTCTCTTGGAGTCAGGATTATCGGGACGAAAGATTTCCTTTCCGGCTTTTGGCGAACGAACGCAAACGAGAATCCTCCGGGGCTCTTTCGTTTCCTCTCGCAAGACCGATAAACGAAGAGAGGACTCGATTAGCAAATTGATGAAACTCGGAGCCGCGTCGGTACACTTCGATCGCGGATGTTGATCAATTACCGTAATTGTACGTAGTTTCCTTCATTGGAGGACTGTCACGCGAACGAGGCCAGACGATTCCTTCGTGAGGGGCGTCGAACGCCATGCTTGCATACACGTGCGTCCCTTCAATGGTGCTCGAGGACAAAAGTAGGATTTTTCGTGTAAAACTCGCAAAACTTTCGATGGAAAAGAGGCAATCGAGAAATTCTCGAGGGAGCTTGTAAGCAAATGTTTCCGGAATGAGAGAAAAATGTAAGGAAATGGGTCAGGATATTTGTCAGTTTGGAGCTTGAAAATTCAGCTAAAAGAATCGGGAATTATCTATTCGGAGTACTTCTACAGGATGTCGCGTAACTGGTAGTACAAGCGAGTAGGGGGTGATTCTTGGTAAAAAATTGAATTGAAAATTTGGAATAAAGTGTTTTCATACGAGGCTTTATTTTCGTGAAAAATAAGTTTGAAAATTCGTCGAAGTAACTGTGCTCTCCTTGTTAAATTGCATCGATCGTTATCTAATTTGTCGTTGTGCAATTTTAATTGTTCAAACGCCGTAACAATTTGTTACACGATAGACCTAACAAACACCACAAATAAAAATCTAAAGGTGGAAGGTTCCAAGATCGTGATAATTCATTTAAATGGCATCTTACTTCTCTACTATAGTGTGATGGTGTTCCATCTTGTTGAAAAATTAAACTATTTCAAATTATAAGAGGAACATTTTCCAATAATTAAGTACAATAATCAAGTGTACTCGACAAGTTTTCAAACTTATTCTTTTCGAAAATAGAGCGTCGTATGAAAAAAATTTTATTCTACATTTTCGATGAAATTTAGAATCACCCTCTACTCGCTTGTATCGCCAGTCAAGTTTGAAAATAGTCCAAAAGCTTTCCGAAAAACGAGAACGATTTTCAAAACAAGGATTTTTCATAAGACCAATTTTCACCTCTATTTCTGGCAAGTCGCGAGTCGAGCTGAGATCCCATTTGCCTGCAATTAAGTTTCATCCGCGACGTAGATGGCACGATCGATCCTCTTCGATGGTACGCTCCTCTGTAGTCGTGCAAACTCCGTGTCCCCGGTGTAATCGTCTTTCTGGATCTTCCGCTTGGGTCCTTGCGCCTCCCGTTTCAACTCGTTAAATTACGTTTGAGTAGACTTCCTCGATCGTGCTGCGCGAAGCTTTCCAGGTATCGCCGAGGCGTCACGAAATGCGCGTCCTTGTTCGCGGTGACTGGCGCCGATAACGAACTTGGCAAACAGAGTGCTAGGTGCACGAGCGGTGGGATTCGAACTCTTGACGATCTTGGGTAGTCCTGGCTGCCGGTCAACCGCTCCGTCCACTCCGCGGCATTAAACAGCCTCGGGCATTAGCATTCCTTTTTCCGATCTGCAGCCTGAGATCACGTAGAGGTAGACATCCGACTGTATAACTTTGACTGCGCGGGTAAACGACGGGAGTAACTATGACTCTGCTGTTGTACTCCCATAGATTTCGATTATAGACATATGAAAGTATAGACCGAGCCTTTATACGAGGGGTAACTGATAATCAGTTATCCTCAATCTGTTTTTTCTACAAATTGAAACTAATATTAACCATTCTGTAACACTATTTTGGT